GCCCACCCACTCAAGAATGGCTTAAAATGCTGTGGTATATGTAGACCATGGAATACTATTCCACCATTAAAAAAAAATGGAGACTTTATATCTTTTATATTAACCTGGATGGAAGTGGTTTACATTGCTCTTAGTAAAGCATCACAAGAATGGAGAAGCAAGAATCTCATGTACTCAATTCTGATATGAGGACAGTAATGACCTAGTACACTGTCGGAGGTGGAAGGGAAGAGGAGCAGAGAGAGGAAAGAGGGAGTGGGGTGAGAAGTCATGGTGTGTGACACTACTTTTGGGAGTGGGACACAATTATAACAGGGATTTTACCTAATAAATTCAATCAATATAATCTGGTTCTTTGTGCCTTCAATGAATTCCAACAATAAAAAAAAAAAGAAGAAATGTAAAATCTAATAACCTCAAACAGAACCGATTGAAGGGAAATAACAACAGATGACACAGAGATATGTGAGATCATCAATGACTACAAGAAACTCTATGTGAAGAAATTTGACAATGTGGAGGAAATAAATCAATACCTGGAATCACACCCTCTCCCTAAACTTAATCAAGAAGACATAAATCTTTTAAACAGACTAATCCTCAAAGAACTCAAATTAGACCTCCTATTTGATCTTGCAATCCCATTACTGGGCATCTACACAGAAGAAAAAAAAGTTCTTTTATCATAAGGACCTTTGTACTAGACTGTTTATCACAGCTCAATTTACAATCACCAAAATGTGGAAATAGCCTAAATGCCCACCAACCCAGGGATGGATTAACAAATTATGGTATATGTATACCAAGTAATACTATTCAGTTATTAAACAAGATGGAGACTTTACGTCTTTTGTATTAAACTGGATGGAAGTGGAACACATTATTCTTAATAAAGCATCACAAGAAGGGGTAAGCAAGAATCCTATGTACTCAATTCTGATATGAGGAAATTGATGACCTAGTACACGGTAGGGGGTGGGGGAAGAGGGTAAGGAGAAAGAGAAGGCGCGAGGAGGTTGGGGAGGGTCATGGGGTGTCACACACCTCTTGGGGAAGGGATGCAATTATAAGAGTAACTTTATCTAGCAAATGCAATCAGTGCAACCTCTTTCTTTGTACCCTCAATGAATCTTCAACAATAAAAATATTAACTGTTAACATCAATCATATTTAATGGTAAGAAATTTAAAACATTCTTACCAAAATCAAGAATAAGTCTCAGTGTCTCACCACTCCTTTTCAGTATCATACTGAACTTAAAGAAGTTTAAAAGCTTGAGCACAGCAAAGGAAATAATCAACATAGTAAATAGACAATACTCACAAACTATACATCTGATAAAATGTTACTATCCGGAATCTAACTAGAAAACATATTAGTCATAGAAATACAAGCAAATCCATCAAAAAGTGGGCAAAAGATATGAACAGAAGTTTTTCAAAAGAATATAGATGAAAGCCCAATGAACACATGAAGACATTCTCTACATCATTAATCATCAGGGAAATATAAATTAAAACTACAATGAGATACCACCTTATCCTTGTCAGAATGGCTATTAATAAAAAATAAAAAAAATATGCTGGCATAGATGCAAAGAGAAACAAATACTTACATACTGGTGATGGGACTGCAAATTATTATAACATCTGTGAAAAACAGTATGGTGGACCCTTAAAGAACTAAAGTTGACTTACCATTTGATCCAGAAATCCTATTATTGGGTATCTACCCAAAAGAAAAGACGTATAAAAAAGACACCTATACTCAAGTGTTTATTGCAGCAAAATCCACAATGGCAAAGATCAACCTAAGTGGTTGCTTATAAACTCATGAATGAATAAAGAAAATGTGATGTATATACACAGAGTCCTGCTTTAGGAGGACTAGATAGAAAAGAGGATGATAGAAAGTAATGAAATAACGTCAATCAGGAGGACTAGATAGAAAGGAGGAGGATAGAAAGTAATGAAATAACATCAATTGCAGCAACTTAGATGGAGCCATTGTCCTAAATGAAATATCTAAGGAATGGAAAAATGAACACCATATATACTGGCTAATTACTGACAGCTTAATCAGTGGGCACGCACAGGCACAAAAAGATGTGAACATTACCGGAAACCAAGAAGGGACAGGATGGGAAAGGGTTAGGTGGAAAAATCTTGCCTATCTGGCTTAATAAACACTCTTTTGGTGACAGGGACACTAAAAACCCTGATGTAAACATTGTACAGGGATATATGTAACAAAACTATTTGTATACCCTTAATATTTGAAATTAAAAACCTGCACATTAATATTGATAGCAGTCTTATTCATAATTTCCAAAACTTGGTAGAAATAAAGATCTCCATCAGGTAAATAGATAAATAAGCTGGTACATCACGAAAATAAAATACTAGCACATGAAAAGAAATGAGCTACAATGCCATGAAAAGACAGGGAGGAATCTTAAAAGCATATGTGTATTACTAAGTGAAAGAAGCCAATGAAAAAGCCATGGACTTCTGATTTCATCTATATGATCTGGAAAAGGCAAAAGTATGGAGACAATACATAGATTAGTTTGCCAGGGATTGGGTGGTTATGTGTTAATGAAGGGTCACCCATTATAACAAATGTTCCAATTTGGGAGGGTGCTGCTAACTAGGAAGCCTATGCCTGTGTGGGGCAGGAAGTATATGGGACATCTCTGTACCCTTACCTTACCTTGATTTTGCTGTGAAACTAATCTGCTCTCAAAAAAATCAAGTCTTTAAAAAAATTGGGGAGGAATTAAGAAATTCTTAGAATAACAAAAGTGGAGGAAGTTTGTAAACAGTCTTTCTCTACAAGGTAGTTCTTCCAGCTGAATGAAAGTACCTTAGACAATAACTCAAAGCCATATGAAAAGATAAAAAGCTCCAGTGAAGTTAACTATATAGGTAAATACAAAAGCCATTGTATTATGATATTTTTTATTCTGTTACTTCTTTTTCTTTTCACATAATTCAAAAGACAAATGAATAAAACAATAATAAATATATGCTAATGGACAAATACAAAGACATAGTTTGTGAAAATACCAACATAAAGAGGGACTGAACATGACAGAAGAAAAGATTTTGTATATTATTGATGGCAAATTGGTATTAATTCAAATCAAATTATGGTATTAATTGTAATCTCTACATTATTCACTAAGAAAATAATTAGGAAATGTACAGAAAAAGAAATGAGATGGGACTCAACAATAGAGAATATGAGGGAAAAAAGATATGACATATACAGAAGAAATACCAAAATGGAAAGATAAAATTCTTAATTATCTCCATTAAAAGCTGAAGCTGGGAAAATGGATGAAAAAAACCCCTAATACACAAATTGGATGAAAGTGAAAGGATAGAAAAAGATACTTCATAAAAATAACAAAAAGAGAGTTAGGTGGCCTTACTAATATGAGAAAAAATAGACTTTAATTAAAAAATGTTAGAAGAGACATTATCAATAAAAGACCAGAATACATTAACAGATTTTATAGACAAAACACATATGACTCAGATTTAAATTATCATATAGCATTTCATATCTTTAATTTGGCACAAATTAAAGTTAGATAATACAAAATATTGGCAAGGATATGGAGCAAGAGAAATTTTTATATTCTTCCTGCAGGACTCTAAATTCATAAAACCATTTTGCATGTGGGCCCTAAAATTTAAAGAAAACAACTTTTATCTCTCTATATTAGACACCATGATTGTACAAAGTAAAAGCAAACAATCTAAACATTTAAATGAATGAATGAATACTTGCATACATTGACATGACTTCCTACTAATTCCCATCTTTCAATGTTATAAAATATTTTCTAAACCTACTCCTACTGGAAGCATTTTCAGGACTATCTCAACCTGGAATGTTGTAACCTATATCTTTTTTTAAATGTATACCCCATGGTCCATTAATTTGCATTGCTCTCTGCATGTCTTCTTACAATGGTTTAATTTTATGTGTGAATTTGACTAAGTCATGGGTTGTGCAGTTAAACAATATTTCTGGTATGTCTGTGATCATGTTTCTAAATAAGATAAGCATTTCAATCAGTGGACTCAGTAAAGTAGACTGCCCTCTCCAACGTGGGTGGGCACCATCAAATCTGTTGAGGGCCTGAAAAGAACAAAAAGGTGGAGGAAAGGGGAATTCTCCCCCTTTTATTCCTCACTGCTTGAGTGGGACCTTGAGCTGCTGCCTTTTAAACTAGGATTTACAGAATCAGCTCCTCTGGTTCTCAGGCTTTCAGATTCAAACCGGAATAATACTACTGGCTCGTTTGGGTTTCCAGTGTGCTCTCTGCAGTTCATGGGACTTCTTGGTGCCCATAATGGTGTGAAATAATTTCTTATAATAAATATTTTATCTCCTATAATAAATAACCTGCTGGTTCTGTCTCTTTGAAGAACCCTAATATACCTCTCAAATCATTTTTTTTGTGCACATAATAATGTATGTATGTATTTATGTCCCCAAGGTCAGCTTTATGAGTTAGCTCTGTAGAGCAGGCACAATAATACAGTAAGGATCTATTAATTAAGTGTAAGGACTCTTTCTTTCATTGAACTAATTTTGTTTTCTTCCTTTTCACAAATAACAAGTTCTTATGTATAGTCAGATATTAGTAGACATTAGTTCCTTCAATAGAATATACAGAGGTATCTGCATCTCAACTCTTCATGGTAGAAGGGTAAGACAAATACATGAGATAGCAGCTAAAGGTTAGAAAGAATGCATAAATATGATTCTATTTTGGTCTGTGTCCTTTTTTACATGTATACTGTGCAATTAATTTTCACTGCTCTCTTCAAGCCCTTTCAAGTCATTTGAAATGCATATGATATTTATCTTTTCAGTCAGCATGTACACAGAGGCTATAGATGAGTTGGCAACTAAAGTGTAAAAGCTTGCAAATATACTATATATTTAGTCACTGAGAATATCTCACAGGAGAAATCTTAAACTCACCTTTATTGAATAATGTTGTAATCACAAAGCTGAAACATATTGTGGAGATTGCATAAAACAATAAGAAAATGAAGATCAGAGTTGAGTCACTATGTTGAATGATTGGTACAGGTTTAATCTAGTAAAACAATTTGGAAGCCAGTTTAGTCATACTCTAAGTGGTATCACACCAAAACAAAAAAGGAGAAATGAAACATTATTAAATATCTTAATAGTACTAGTGACACTGTTCAGTGAGAAGGAGAATTAACAATTTATTTCTTATAGAAGGCTCACTTATCTAGGTTTAAGGTTTATTTTTATTAGATATAAGCAGCCTCTGAGTTTCCATACTGCGGTCAACAAAAGCCACATTTTCATTCCCTAGTAACCTGAGATCCTTTAAGCCCACAGGTGTTTTTATTTTCCTTCTCAAAGTTAGCTGCAACAGTCAAATAGACACTTGCCTTGATAAAGAAAATTATGCACATGAAAATGATGGTAATTGAATACAATAATAGGAATGTGACGAAGTAGGCAGCCCAAAGCATCCAATTACTGAGTCCTATCATGAGCTGGTACTCCTGTGGGAGAATAATACAAATGAAATATTATATAAAACAATATATCCATAAAATGCCATAGAGTTTTCAAAATGCACGCACAAATATTATCTAATTTAATGTGTAAAATCAAAGTATGTTAAATAATAAATATTATCATCTCTAATTTGTAGAGGTGATAATCAAGGCTCAGAAAGTCAAGTAACTTACTTAAAATTATCCAGCTAGTGAGTGGCAGTACTGTGATTCTCAAAAGCCCAAAGATCATTTCCCTAGTAATGCACCTTATGTTGTTAAGACAAGAAAAACACTTCAATAAAGCTATATACCACTTATATTAATATTTCCTTTATTTTAATGTTTTCTTACTTGAGTATTAAAGAAACAAATTATGGAGATTAGAAGCAAACACTAAAACTAGGATAAAAAAGGGGAAATAAAAAGCTTAAAAGTTTTATGAATAATCTTTAGGAATTATACATTTTCTTTAGAAGTAGTTTATAGACATACACAGTATTTCAAGTTTTAACAAAATAACATCAAAAGGATTTAGCTAACAATATAGTGTATAAAACCAATAAAAAGATTGAAACAAGTGGTATCCATTTTTAGATACTAATTTATTATTTATTTATCTAAACTATGTTCTAGATTAAAAATGGGGAAGAAATAATTGCACTACCCTCAGACACCTAGCACTCATTCCTAGAAATTGTGTAGAATCAAGTACTTCTACCAAATCATTAGTTAATGTGTTATAGCAAACATCACTCAGAAAATATGAAATCACACCACTGTGATCCCACAAGCATTCTGAAATGACATTCTGAACTAATGTGAAATTATTTTTGTATTTCAAAATATTATGGGGTACATATTTTTTGTTATATGCATTCATTTTGTTATGTTTGAGTCAAGGTTGTGTATCCATTACCCAGATTGTGTTCATTGTACCCATTAGCTGTTTTTTTGCCCATTCCTTCATATGCCCTCCCTCCTGCTTGATTTCCACTGAGTTTTACTTCCCTCTGTGACACGTGTGCTCATTTATTAGTTCCAATTTAATAGTGAGTATATGTGCTATTTGTTTATCTTGGGATAATGATCTCCAGTTCATTCAAATTGTTGCAAAAGGCCTTAATTCAGCTTTCTTCATGGCTGAGTAGTAGTCCATAGTATACATAAATCACATTTTTGTTAATCCACTCATGAATTGATGGACAGTTGGGTTGATTACACATCTTTGCAATTTTGAATTGTGCTGTTCAATTCAAACTGAAACAAACATTTGAGTGTTGGTGGGTTTTTGATAAAATGACCTCTTTTCCAGGGTACCTATTCTTTTTTGATACCACCAGTGTTGATTAACTATACTTTCACTACCATTCAGGTTGAAGTATTTTTAAATTCTCCTTATAATTTGTTGTGACCTATGGATTGTTTGTAAATTTGTTGTTTACCATTTTACTGAGATTTTCATATACATCATATTGTTATTGAGTTCTAATTTTCATTCATTGTTACCAGAAAAATATACTTCATATTATATTTATGATTTTATGTTTATTGAGACTTGTTTTATGGCTCAACATTTAGTCCATCTTAGTTTGATTCCCAAATATTTGGGATTTCTTCTAGATATATTACCCTTATTGAATCTGTAGTTTAATTCCTTTGTGATAGAGAATATACTTTATATTATTTCAAGAACCTAGTCTATCCAGTGTACTTGAAAATAAGGTATATTCATCAATATTCAGAAATAGTGTTTGGTAAACATCATTGATGTAGTTGAGACTATTGTGGAGTTTTACTTCATATCTAGTGACAAAAATAGATTAAAATTAAAATATGGTAAAAGATATTTCATGCAAATAGTAACCAAAACAGAGCTGGAGCAGCAACATGTATGCACAGAGCAGAGACCCAAAGTATATAAAGCAAAATTTAACAGAACTATTGTAGAAATGATTCTACAACTTTAATTTGAGACTATAATACACAATTTTCAATAATGGCTAGAAGAACTAGAAAAAGAATCAGTAAGAAAATAAAAGGGGACAAGAGGACCTGACATATATAGAACATGCCACCCAACACAAACATAATACAGATTTTTCTCAAATGTTCATAGAACATCTCCAGAATAAACTGTGGTAAGCCACAAAAATATGTTTTATTACATTTCAAAGAATTAAATCATACAAAATATTCTTTTCTGTTCACAATGGAATTAAAGTGGAAAACAACAGCAAAAGGAAAATTGGAAAATGCATAAGCATGTGGAAATTAAATAATGCACTCTTAAACAACCAATGGGTCAATAAAAAAGTCAGAATAAAAGGGGGCAAATACTTTGAGACAAGTGAAAACAAAATCTACCAAAACTTATGAGAGGCAGTGAAAGCAGTATTCAGAAAGAAGTATATAGCTGCAAGTGGCTAAATTATAAAAGGAGAAAGAGCTCAAATAATACACAACTTTACTCTTTAATGACTTAGAAAATAAGAATAAATTAAAGCTAACAGAAGAAAGGAACTGATAAAGATTAGAGTGGAAATAAATAAAAATAGAGAAAAGGTAAACAGTAGAGAAAATCAACAAAATCAAAATTTAATTCTTTGAAAAAATCAACTAAATTGGCAAACTTTTAGCCAGATTTACTGAGAAAAATTTAGGGAACATTCAAATTACTAAAATAAGCGAGGAAACATTATTTCTGATTTTATAAAAATAAAAAGAATCACAAGAGAGTGCAATGATAATTGTTTGCCACAGTACTGCATAATATAGATAAAAAATAACCAAATTTATAGAAATATACAACTTAATAAGATTGAATCATGAAGAAATAGAAAATCTGAACAGATTCATAACTAGTAAGGAGTTAAAATCAATAACTGAAAACCTAAGGACTATAAATCTGAACAGACTTATAACTACTAAGGAGATAAAATCAATAACTAAACCAAAAAAACTAGAAATCTGAACAGACTTATAAGTCATAAGAAGGTAATTCAATAACTAAAAATCACTCAACAAAGAATAGTCTTGCACCAGATTGATGCATTCTATCAAATAGTTAAAAAATAAAAAACAATGATCTTTCTCAAACTCTTCCAAGAAATGGATGTGGAGGTGAAACTTCCTAACTTATTTTATGAGGCTAGCATTAATTTGATAGGAAAGCCAGAAAAAGACATAACAAGAAAATAAACCACACACCAATAGCCCTAATAAATATTGATATAAATATTCCTTAATAGAATATCAGCAAACTAAATTCAGAAGTATATATGCATTAAAAGTATTATATACCAGTAACTGGGCGTTGTGGTGGGCACCTGTAGTCCCAGCTATCTGGGAGGCTCAGGCAAGAGAACATTTAAGATCAAAAGTTTGAGGTTGCTGTGAACTGTGACAGCATAGCACTCTACCAAGGGCCCCATAATGAGACTCTGTCTCAAAAAAAAAAGTGCCATTAACTTTGTGACTTACACGTGAAAGTATTATACACCATGACCAAGTAGGAATTATTTATGAAATGCAGGGAAAGGTCAACATAAAAGTCAATAAACGTAATATACCACATGAAGAGAATAAGGTAATAAAACCAAGTAATCATCTCAACTGATGCAGAAAAACTTTCAAAAACATGTAAATGACACAGCATTCAATATTCTCAATATACTGGAAATCAAAAGGAATTTTCCTCAATATAATAAAGGCCATAGATGAAAAATGATAGCTAATATATTTTTCACTAAGAATAGAGAACATACAAAGATACTACTTTTTACACTGGCTAGACTTAAAAGTTCTACACAGAGGAATTAGGAAAAGAAAAATAAAAGGCATCAGATGGGAAAGGAAGAAGTAAAATGATCTTGGTAGATGATATGATCTTAGTTAAGTTTATATACAAAAAACCCAAATTCAGCAAAGCTACAGAATTCAAAATCAGCACAAAAAAATTACTTGTATTCATTACCCACTAACAATGAACAATCCAAAAAAACTTTTTTGAATCATATTTGCAATAGCATAGAAGTGTCTACAATGCTTAAGAATAAACTTAACCATGGACAGAAAAGATATACACACTAAAAACTAAAAAATATTGTTGAACAAAACAAAGTAAGGCATAAATAAATGAAAAGATGTCCTGTGGTTTTAAAATGTAGTTTTTATTGTTACTTAGGTATAATGCAGCCTAAGACAATTGCCACATTGGGGGGTGGTGGCTTTGAGGTCATTCAGAGAGAGGAAGGGGAGAGGGAGCTAGGAAGAGTGAAGCAAAAGCCTGTGTTACTATTTAAGTGGGAAAGGCATTGCAGGGCAGGTTAAAAACACTTCGCCTAATGTCAGCAGGCATATAGAAGCTTTCTCTAGTTATATGTATGTTAACTGATCTTAAGGGGATTAGGATGATGGTATAGTGGCTTGGTGTGTGAAAACTAATAAAAAAAGGTGGTTGAGAATAGGAGATGCTGTGTTTTGTATTGGAACATTTAATATGGTGAAAGAGAAAAACTAAAACCATTCCTACATAGAAGCAGAACCAGATAAGGATGTCTACTATCACTACTACTATTCGACATAGTGCTGGAAGTCCCAGCCAAAGCAATCTGACAAGAGAAGGCAATCGAAAGTATCCAAACAGGGACAGAAGAGGTCAAACTATTGCTCCATGCTGATGATAAGATTTTATACCTAGAAAACCCTAATGACTCAACCAAGAGGCACCCAGAATTGATAAACACAGCAATGTCTTGGGATATAAAATCAATGTACACAAATCAGTGGCCTTAATATACACCAACAATAGTCAGGCTGAGAATCAAATCATGGTAGCATCAAAAGAAATGAAATACTTTGGTATATATTTGAAAAAGCATGTGAAGGATCTCTAAAAGACAACTATGAAACATGGAGAAAAGAAAATGCAGAGGATATTAACAGATGAAAGAACCTACCATGCTCATGACTCAGAAGATCAACATTGTTAAAATGTCTATACT